AGAAACACAAAAATACATCGAAAGGAAAAAGGGATTATCATCAAATCACTGAGAGAGAGGATCAACAACCACCTTCACAACCATCTTCGTCCACTGACCACCATCGTTCATTGCTACCACTACTACCACTGTTGGCTATCTCCACCTTCTCTTCTAGTACAACCTCCTCCACCACCTCCACAACCATCATCGTCCACTGACCATCACCGTCGATTGCCAGCACCACTACCACCATTGGCCACCTCCACATTCTCTTCTACTACAACCTCCTCCACCACCTCCCCAACCATCGTCGTCCACCGACCAGCACCGTTCATCACCACCACTATGGGCTACCTCACCTCCATCATGGGCTACCATTACCACTACCACCATCGGCCACCACTATTGACTACCTCTACCACTATCTACCATATTCATGTCCTCCATAACCACAATCATCCATCTCCACCACCCCTAGTATCGCTGGCTACCACAACCTCCACCAAAACCACCATCATTGTCAACCGCCACCACCACCATTCTCCACCATATTCACGTCCTCCACAACCATTATCGTCCACCAATTAACAATGCTTCTACCTCCACAACCATTGTTTTTGCAACAATCTTTATCGTGCCTCTACCAATTGATAAAGATCTTTTAAATTGAATAAAACATAATTTCTCCTTTGTATGAATCATGTTTTATCAAAATACCATCAATTATATAAAAAATTTCGTTCAAATTTGGTACAATTTTATATTTATGTATATGAAAATTGTGTAAAAATGTTTATAAAATTAGGTTATTTACTTTATTTGTGTTAGTTTTAACTATTATATCATATATAAAATCATAAAATAACTTTTGAGACAACTTATCTAGTTCTGTCATGTCCAGTCCTAGTCATACCAAACACCAGACAGACACTTGTTCTATCCAGTCCTGTCCAGTCCTACCATCTTGTTTTGTCCAGTTCTGTCATGTCCAATCATGTATGCGTACCAAACGATGGAGAAACAAGCAACAACCAAATAGAATCAAAGAAAAAGGGAAATAAGAGGAATTAAGATATTAGTTTACCTCTTATTTATTCTTTACCTCTTATTTATTCTGACTCTATTAAGTGATAAGAGGCTCTAGAAAAAAAAAACAGTCTGAACTACGAAAATGTTTAAACGAATAAGATATAAGTGGTAACTAAGAGTTAAAGATGAAAAAACAAACAAGGCCTAAGCCTAAATCTGGACTTTGGACAGATTTTTAAACTTAGAACCAGACTTAGACTTTGTGAACTCAGACTTAGACTTAGGAAACAGAGTTTGATACTTAGAGTCAGAGTTTGATATTTTGAACTAGATTTTGCCTTAGTACAATTAGACTTTGGTCCTTGTCTGATTTGGTTGTAACTACTTTTCAAGCTTATCCATTAGTGGTTATAAATGTCCGTAATCTCTCATATAAATATGTACACAAGAATCTGGGTGTATAAGAAGAACTTGATCTCATAGACTTTGAGATCTAGGGAGTCTCTCTTTAATTATCCCAATACGAAATTTGTGTTACCTGATGCTTTAAGGGACAAATTATTGTCTTTGAAGAGTATGTTCTACACGGTCCAACGAGATTATCTAGTGTTGGTCCCAGCCGGTCTACAAAAGTTTATAGGTAACAATTTGTAGAAAGGGGGATGAATACAAACACAGTAACTTTCACTTTTAAAAATTATATATTGATAATATAAAAATCAAAACAAATTTTACAAATTGTTTGCGGAAGAGATAAGATACAAAACCTATCTAAACAATCTAAGATACACACAAAATTACAAATAACAATAAGGAAAGACTTGCTACAAGAAATAAGGTAAGAAGAAATGTGTTCTTCACTTGTTAAAGTGGGTCTTTCTCTTAGACAGAGAGTAGAGAGAGAAGTAACTTCTTGGGTAAGTTTTTAGTAAGGAAGAAGATAATTGAGGAGAGAACTACTCAGTTATTTATACACATTGCATTAAATGCAATTCAAAAGGTACATAGCATGTGGCAAGTTTTTAGAGGAAAGTTTGTCCTTTGTTACAGTATACAGTCCTTTTGGTTGTACATGAACAATCCTCTTTCATAAAGTAGGTAAGCACGTTTGGAGTCAAAGAAGTAGCTCCGTACTGTACTATACTTAGAAAGGTATGAGTTTGACCTTTGTATGCAGAAGGACAAGACAAAAACTATTTTTCTCGACAAGATTCATTTGATCGTTGAACATTGGAATGACGCTGAAGGTCTCATCAGGTCCATTTCTGACATTTTTTGGTCCCTGGGCAATTTGTAAATTTTGGGCTCTCTATATGTACAATCTTTAAAAAAAACAAACTTTCATACAATAATACTAATAATTAATACAAAACAACTTTATTGAGTATTTTGGATACAAAATCATCAATAATAGCATCTAATTCATGCAAAACAACTTCTTCGAGCATTTTTGGATGCAAAATCATCAATAATAGCATCTAAATCAATATTATCAAGCATGTCTTTTTCAATGCACAAATTACCAATCCATTCAATCTTTCTTGTGACATTGATGACCTCAAGTACGTCTTCAATAACTTCAATTTTGAAAAACTCATTTCCACAGATGCTACGGTCACAAGTACTGTCAACATAATTCGATAAGCAACGGAAACATTAGGGTAACAATATACAACTTTGACAAACTCAAGAATTTCAACTGACGTCATTGATTTATATGGCAAAGTCACCTGCAACACCTTTAATTCAGAATAAAGATCATTTACATCCACACCCGCCACAGTAATATGATAAAAGATATCACCAAAATGAACACAAGATCTCATCAATTCATTTTCATCCAATGACTTTAGTTTATCAGAATCGAATAGGAATCCAAAAATACTTTCTAATTTCTTTAATTGTTCAAATATATTATTCAATGAAGAAATTGTCATGTCCACAATGGTTAAAAAATAATTAATTCTAAAAGTCTCCTCTTCTGATGCTTGCATTTCTTCTTCACTATTATTTTCATCAAATTGTTTTTTCCTAATAATACGACGTTTAATTAAAAATGTAGGATCTATATTCATTTCACATGTTATTGTTTTAGCAGTATCCATACTTGATGCAAACCCTTCATTCCTATACTTTTCAAAATACTTCACTACACCTTCAAATTGTTCCATGGTAGCATTAATGCACATAGATTTTAATTGCAACTTTTTACTAACCATGTTTATTGCAAATAAAACATCATACCAAATAACCATACCAAGTAAAAACTCAAAATTTTCAATTGCACTTACCAAACTTTCTGCTTCACTTTTCGTCTTGGCATTATCACATGATTTGCATAATTCAAGTAAAGTCGATCTTATTTGAGTAGCTTGAAATCTAATTGCCTTGACACTTTTTATTCTACTTTCCCAACATGTGTTGCACAAAGATTTTATAGTTAAGTTTGACACATTATCAAGTAACACCTTCCACCTTTTTGTAGAACTAGCAAATAATGTGTACATGCGTTGAACAATTCCAAAAAATGAACCAGCTTTAACACAAGAATGAGCCATATCACTAAGGGGGCGTTTGGTTCGCAGAATGGTTTATGAAAAAATGAAATCTGTCAAAGGAATTGGAATCTGGAAGGAATTGGAATGGAATGATATTAGATTTGACCAAGTGTTTGCTTAGCAAGAATGAAATTTAATCTGTGTAATGAACTGGAATCTGTCTGTTTGGTTTGCAACAAAATTGAATTGGAATGATGAAAAAAGACAAAAATATCCTTTCTTTGATAAGCCTACGTCTACGTGTTGTTGCTAAACTAAGTCGGGCCATTTCCTGTTCCAAGAAACAAAAGTTATTAACCATCCCCTTTTGTATTGTATAACTTACTATGTAATATGAAATAAAAACAGTAGCAAATAGTTCAAAACAGTAGCATTATATATACAAAATAGTAGCAAAAGTTTTGTTAGAAGCATATACACAAAACAGTAGCAAAATAGTAGCATTAAACAATAACAAAATAGTAGCAAAATAGACAGTTAAAAAAACAGTTCAAACCCTTAAAACAGTTTTAAAAAACAGTAGCATTGTATACATATATGCTATGAAATATGAAATAAAAAACGGTAGCAAACAATTCAAAACAGTAGCATTATATATACAAAGCAGTAGCAAAAGTTTTGTTAGAAGTATGTACACAAAACAGTAGCAAAACAGTAGCAATAAACAATAACAAAACAGTAGCAAAACAGACCACTATATATACAAAACAGTTAAAAAACAGTTTTAAAAAAACAGTTCAAACCCCTAGAACAGTTTTAGAAAAATAGTAGCATTGTATACATATATGCTATGAAATATGAAATAAAAACAGTAGCAAACATAGAAACACGGAGG